TTTTGGTTTTCAGTTCATCAACATCATCATTTTCAGTATAATCTTCATCAATCCCCGGATGCGGACAACATTGGTGTAAAAATATTGTAAGATGGTTACGTTATTTACCTTAGGCTGACTTGATTTATTCTCATTACTAATTTAGTATCAAATCATACATTTTAAAATTTAGTATTGTGCTACAGGAAATTCATCACCACAAGACCCTACCACTGCAGCATTGTCTCTAACTCCTCTTCTAAAACAACTTCAATCATCTACTACCGCTTTTATGTATCTTTGTGTAGACGAAGCAACAACCGAAAAACGCACACTGGCAAATATATTATATAAAGGTGAAGATGGTGAAGGTTTCGAAGGGGAGTATGCAGACGAATTTTGTGTTTATGTATTGGAAGTCGAAAATGGGGATCTTTCAGCGGCGCGAAAGTGGTTAATAGATAATGCACCAAAGGTAAAATTTGTACACTAATAATAAAGAGTAAATTAAACATGTAATGCACAAATATAAGCATATTATGTATTTTTAATAAAGGATAGAGAAATTATCTATAGCCTTTTGAAGTTCTTCATTAGTAAAAGTTGAGATAGAATTCACAATATAGTTTTTAATGTATTGCAATATAGTTTGTAATGTATTGAATCTCGTCCATCCCTACTTTTTCAAATAAGCTAAAGGTTTTTATAGCTCTTTCATAAATCTTCTCATATCGGGAATCTGTTCCATAATAAAGTTGTAATCTAATCCTTTTGTTTTTTTTGCAAATACAAGTAAGAAACCTTTTATATAAGAAACTCTTGATATAAAAAAGATTTTATAGACCCCAATTGAAAATTTTATAATAAAAGTCCTTTGATATAAGAAAATCTCGATATAAGAAAGATTTTTGGCTGGACCGGCAACTTTCTTATATCATGAGTCACTTGTATTAAATTTGGTCATAAAATCTCAAGTCTTTGAATTATTTGGCATATAAATACTAACATAATATTTCTTCTTGATTGGCTTTCATTGCGTTTTCTTCGGCGTTGCACGCTTTTTGAGAAAGTTAATACCGTATCGACACGAAATAATGCCCCGGGGCATTATTTTGGGTCTCAACTTCCATAAAGAACAAGTTTCTTAATTTCATAATGTTTTATATAATGAATAGAAATTAACTTAAAACATACATACCGTAAATTCTCGAAATATAGCATAGGTGGTTTCAAAATAACGCCCATGCGCGTCCCGAAATAACGCACATCTAATATTAAGGGGTAGTAAAATTTAAAAAATGCTCCAGAACTAGGTTTGGTACTATGTAAATCTACTTTTGAGTTCTAACAAAAGTTGTTCTTCAGATCGAGACGGTTCTAATAGTGGTAAGTTTATCAAAAACGACTCAGTATATCGTCCACAATGGCTTCCCTAAACAAAGATAAACAACGTTGCAAAACTTCGAAGAGCCATTGCGGACGATATACTGGGCCGTTTTTAATGAACTTACTACCATTAGAACCGTCTTGACCTGAGCAACAACTTTAATTAAAGCCCAAAAGTATACTTACTTAGCACCAAACCTAGTTTCGGAGCATTTTTATTTATTTACTTTTTATATAAAAAATATATATAATTTTATATTTGATTCAAAATAACGCCCATGCGCGTACTCAAAATAACGCGCACGCATTCAAAATAACGCGCAGATGCCCGTTATTTCGAGAATTTACGGTAAATAATTAATTTAAATCCAAGTTCGAGAAATTTTCAGATTTCAACGGTATGTAAGAATTACAACATTGTATATTAAATGAAATATTATTATGACGCATAATACTATCGTTATCACACCATCAGTAAGTAATATTTTTTCGTTTTTGTTAGAAATGATCAAATATGACAAAACGTTGCATTTCACATATTACGTGATACAGCATCTTTGTTAAATATAAATACGGTTCAAAGCTTCAAGAAATTTTCGGTAAATGCAAACATGAAACGCAAAAATATCTCTGAGGATGGATCGAGAAAATCAAAAAGACAAAACATCGTCAGACATTAGATATGGGATGAAAAACTCGAGACATGACAAGAACATTATGGCTGCCAATCGCAGAAAATATTGTCAAAATAGAAACAACAATAATCGGTCAATAAATTTTTTGGAGAGTTGTAGATCCTGGTTTAACATCACGAACCATGAAACAGCGAGGAAATTGAACAATAAATATTTTGTATTCGATCCAGGGATTGATGAAGATTATACTGAAAATGATGATGTTGATGAACTGAAAACCAAAAAGATTCGTGTTTACCCGACTCTTCGGGAAGCAAATATCTTGAAAAGATGGTTCGGGACCGTGAGGTGGACTTACAATCGCGTGGTGGAAATGCATCAGAACGACGATATTAAGAATTATCAGTGTATTAAAGACAATTGTTTAAAGAATGATTATATAAAATCTTATTCAGAATTAAATTGGTTACTCGATACTCCTTACGAAATCAGATCATATGCTATCAGACAATACAAATCATCGTATAAAACTTGCAAGGAAAGATATGGAAACAAATTCAGGATGAAATTCAGGAGCAAGAAGGATACTTTACAAACACTGCTGGTGTCTGCGCGTGACATTAATCGATTGAATGGTGTATGTTCGTTCTTAAAGAATATCGTGGTTTCTGAATCATTGCCTGCGATAGAGAAAACTTTAGCGGTAACATTGGACAAACTTGGAAGGTTCCATTTTCACGTATCAATTCCATTGGAGGTTCGTGAGAACCAAACACCTGTCAGTGGTAGGATCGTGGCGTTGGATCCTGGTGTGATGACGTGTTACGACCCTGCAGGTCGTGTGATCGAGTGGGGTAGGGGAGACTTCAACCGCATTGTAAGATTGTGTAAACGTCATGACAAATTACAAAGTGATTTGTATATCAAAACTGGGAAAGAATACAAAATAACAAGATATCTGTTGCGAAGAAAGATGTGTAGGATCCGGTTCAAGATTCGTAACTTAATTGACGAATTGCATTATAAATTGGTCAAATGGCTTTGTGATCGATATCAAACGATACTCATACCAACATTTGAGACTTCAAATATGGTAAAGAGAACCAGACGAAAGATCGGATCCAAGACCGCGAGAAACATGCTGACATGGTCGCATTATCGTTTCAGGATGTTTTTGAAACACAAGGCGTGCGAGTATTTTGATCGTAACATCATAGAATGTGACGAGGTGTACACTTCTCAGACCTGTGGAAATTGCGGATGGGTAAATAAGAATCTCAGAGGAAGAAAGAGACTCATTTGCGTTTCGTGTGAAATTAACACGGACAGGGACTTTAACGGGGCACGTAACATCCTTTTGAAGTACCTGTCGGAGTCAGACCTCCTTCTGGAGATCTGACGTTAGGAACTTGAACCTGGTCGTAGGGTGAATTACCCAATGATCGACCGTAGAATCCGATGTTTGTTTATCATTGTTTACTAATGTTGGATTTAATTTCAAGGGGCCGAGTGATATCGAAGAACTTACTGCTAATGAAGTTGAAGGTTGACTTGACCATTAACTTCATTCACGTTCGTACACGTAAAGTGAAGAAAAAGGATAACGTATTACTTATTTATTATTTTGATATTATATATTTATGGTACAGTTTCGTGCGTTTCAAAACTAAAGAGGCTGGCGTCTGTTATTACAGGATTGCTAGTCTCGTTAAATTAGCGTTGGATGCGTTCGCAATTATCACGTATCGTCCAGTTTTCGTTAGCGTAATATTCAAAATTGTGTGGTATGTACATACTTTAAAAGTTTAACATTAATTTTTAACTTTAGCAGAAAAGATAAACCTTACTTTAAGATACGCAACAATTATATATTCAATTTGTAATGTACTGGACAAGTGGCACGGCGAAAATGTATGTGATCACCAGACTGTAGTAAATTTAATGACAGATCAAAGCTTTGATACTAAAACTGGCTATTCAAATGTGATTTTGAGCAACAAACTTGGAAACTTTTTAATCATTAAATTTAAAAAATTTTGATCAAATCAGTCGTGACATGTGCTGTATTTCTTAGATCGGAATAACTTTAAAAAAAAAAAACGTATTATCGTCTCTTATTATAAAGTTTGCACGTACCGGTAAAATATTATGAAGGATTATGAAATGTATGAGAAATTCACTAAGAATTATTCCAAATTTTTGTATTATTTTTTTTCGAATTTTGCTAAAGATCACCGCAGGTGATCATCACCCGATTTACTTATTTGCGCAAGTGATACAAATCACGTGCCAATAGTAAATATTCGTTTGTTGTTATTTTGCTTAGGGTTAAGGTTAGTATAAAGAACGTTGCATAGTAAAATTTGGCCAGGAATTTTTTTATTAGAACGTAAAAGGTG